CGACTACGACTACGACGACGACTAACGACTACTACGACGACGACTGCCACTGCTACTTCTACTGCTACTGCTGCTGCTACTGCTGCTGCTGCTGCCTGCTACTACTACTGCTACAACAACAGCAACAACAACAACAACTACTACTACTACTACTACTACTCCCGCTGCTGCTGCTGCTGCTGCTGCTGCTGCTGCTCCTACTACTACTACTACAACAACAACAACAACTACTACTACTACTACTACTACTACTGTTACTACTACGACTACGATGACTAGTGCTACTACTGCGACAACGGCGACCATTTCGACTGACTACTACGACTACTAGGCTACTAAGGCGTCTACTACTACTGAGCTTGTGAAGATGAATGTCGATTTCAATTAGACTTTAAGCCATTGTTCTGCGCGGGCTTGGTCTCCCGAAGTATCTATCAGCTACTTCGTAGCTATCTTGTAGCTATAGTAGCTAGTGCGAGCAGCCGCAGCAGCAGCAGCAGCAGCAGCAACTAGCAGCAGCAGCAGCTGTAGTTGTAGTTGTAGTTGTAGTTGTAGTTGTAGCTGTAGCTGTAGTTGTAGTTGTTGTTGTTGTTGTCGTCGTCGTCGTGGCCGTTGTTGTTTTTGAACATACGAAACGAGAAAAGCCTGAGGCGCTGTTGATGTTCTTCAACTTCCAAGCCTTCATCCTCCTGTGGTGTGTCCGGGCTTATCGCGCGAGAGAGTGGCAATTGCACAGAATCAATTTTGCGAAGGCCTGCGCCATATGTGCATGGGTGGTGTGTGCTACGGCTGCCCTCGCTGTATTGATGCGAAGCCAGCCATCCTCCGCAAGTTATTCGAAAGCGTGTGTGTCCTAAGCCATGACAGGTGTATGGCAGCCGTATGTTTGTGGAAGGCTTTCGCGCCGTGTTGAACCGAAGTGACTTTCGAATCGACACCTGTGATACCGTTCAGGCAGTGAGACTGGGAAAGCAGATGTATACTCAATTTGTGGGGCAGCACACTCTGCCGTCCGGACTCTTGCGAGATCTCAGGAGTCAGGCCCCCAGTGGTCAGCACTGGTCGGTCTGCATGTCTCGTGTAGTAGGGCCTGCTGCCAGGCTGTTGGTTGCAGAAGGCACGCTGGCCTTCACCATCTTCCTGTGCCCAGAATTTCCAGCCAGTACGGATGGCGTTGCAGCCGCGACCCGGACAAAGTCAGGTACTTCTTCACTGCAGTGTCTGCGCTGGCCTACGCGCGAAACTGTGTGGAGAAGCGAGACGGTGTAGAAGAAGGATTGCAATATGTGAAGCCCAGGCAGTTTGTCAGCGACGTCGTCGGGTGGAGCTCGACACGCGCGAGGCAATCACTAGTTAGCTTGCGGCGGAGGGGACAGTCTGGACATGCCAGGCCACAATGAAGGACTTCTCACTGATTCTCACAGGCTTTCCGGCCGAGGAGGGAAACGAGGCGCCTTGCTCCAGCTTGCACGTGATGAGGTCCCGGTAAAAATAGTAAAAACGCAAGAGCCGAATGCCTTTCTGTTACATGTTATTATTGATGGCGCCCTAAGGTTGAGAAGAACCGGGCCAACTTTGTTCGCAGGGCCACCGGGTGCCTCACCTGGGGGCGGGAGTCTTGTGTATCACCTGAAGCTTTCTTCCGGACTTTCTTCTACTACTACTACTACTACGACGACGACGACTACTACTACTCTATTACCGCTACTACTGCTGCTACTACTACTACTACTACCACTACTATTACTATTACTACTACTACTACTACCACCACCACCACTACTACCACTACTACCACTACTACTACTTCTACTAGTATTCCTACTAATGATTATTGCTGCTGCTACTACTACCACTACTACTACTACTACTACTACTACGCTACGACTACTACTACTACTACTACTAAAATTACTACTATTACTACTATTACTACTATTACTACTATCTGACGACTACTACTACTACTACAACAACTACTACTACTACACCTACTACTACCTACTACTACTACTACTACTACTTCTGCTACTACTACTACTTCTGCTCCTGCTGCTACTACTACTACTACTACTACTACTAGCCACCCCCCACCCTACCAACTACACTCCGTCATGGTCGTCAACATCATCATCACCAACATCACGAAACCTCAAACACATTTCATCACCAACATCACCAAACCTCAAACACATTTCATCACCAACATCACCAAACCTGAAACACATTTCATCACGAAAGTACTGTA